ACGCTCGACCATCTATGCCCATATTTGGACTTCGTGCGTCTCTCTTTCTCGGGCCTCGTGCCTCTCATTGCGAAGATACGCGACTAGCCACGGCTGGTGAAATCAACGTGAAATTACCGTTTACTGTTTCGCGCATTTCCTGCGTAGTTAGTGTTTGCTGTTGACATAGAGCTTATACTCATGGAGAGGCCATGCCTATGGCCTGTTCTACAATACAGTCTTAAACTGTAAGTCGTAAGAAATTGACCAATCACAGATAAATCACAGAAGAATAATCGATTGTGATTGGTCAATTTCTTACGACTTACGGCTTACGATTGTATTGTAGAACAGGCCTATATGCTAACCATAGAGAGGGCCGCGCAAGGAGGATCGACAAAGAGAGATATATTTTGTCCATATTTTGTCTCAACTGTGGCTCCCCCACTCCGTGTTCTCTGTTATTCTCTTCTATAAGAAGTGGCCACAATTGAAACAGAAAAATATCTCTCTTTGTCGATCCTCCTTGCGCTCGCATGGCCTCTCCATGAGTATAAGCTCTATGGCTGTTGATGTGTTTATGCTGAGTTTGATTTTTTCCTTCATTGAAAATGTATTTGAAATTATATTTTTTATGCTTTGTTTACGGATAAAAACACCTTTGACCAATTTGTTTGAATTACCCGACGTTTACTGATTGGAGCGGAGCATCAATAAATCTCACTTCGATATCTCAGCCAACTTCAGCTCGACGACACTAGGCTTGTGCCATAGTAAGGGCCATTGCACGTGAAAACATTTTAACCGTAACCGTAAAATCGTAAGTAATTCAACCAATCACAGATTAGTATTATCTTAAGGGTCGTCTACAATGGAGAGTTTTAGACCGTAACAGTAAGAAACTGACAAATCACAATCGATTATTCTTCTGTACTTTGCCTGTGATTGGTCAATTTCTTACTATTACGGCCTACAACTCTCCATATGTAAAGAGCCGTCTACAATGGAAAGTTGTAGGCCGTAATAGTAAGAAATTGACCAATCACAGGCAAAGTACAGAAGAATAATCGATTGTGATTTGTCAGTTTCTTACTGTTACAGTCTAAAACTCTCCATTGTAGACGACCCTTAATAGAAAAAAATGATTCAGGACTTTTCGACTCAGTTTTACTCTTTCTACCTGCCTACGAGAGATGTTAAAGTAATTGTCGGACACCCTGTATATAGTATGTATGTATATACAGGGTGTCTGACAGCGAAATATAAAGCCGACGTGTGTAGGTAGATCGGGTCATTCTGAACAGAAAAGTTATATACCATTTTGCAAAATTCGCAATATTTATTGAGATATGAATTAATAAATGTGAACCAATGAAGACGCGGGGAGCGACGATTGGACTCTATAGGCGTGCACGATTATCAGATGAAAAGAAAAATGGCTTCTCTCATGTAATGTCTTAGTAACAAAAGGAGTAAACAAACAAGCGCGGCACGGCACGACTCAGGCTGGATCCTCATACAGACACCGGCGCTTTGACACCGAGCGTTGATTGGTGAAAAGTGGGTAGTGGGAGTAAACGGCGCTAAAACACCGGAGCT